ACGATAGTGCGGCAGCATGTAGCCGGAGTCTTCGTACCGTTGATCACAAAGCATTGGTAGTAAATTTTCTTCAATATTTCATAGCATCAAGTTCGTCCACTTTGGTTGAGGGAAGGAGGTTCTCGTATGATAACAATGATCACAAGTTGGACTAGCAAAGAGGAAGAAGCCCAGTCTTTGATTGAAGGACTAAGTGAAGTGATTCCGAATACAAGGACGTTGTCAAGAAGGAAAATGATACACGAAGGAATAGTTGTATATGTATAATGAAGCGCGTACAGAGAACACGTCGTGATATAAGACACCCTATAGTACGAAGAACCAAAGGACAATATTGAGTAGAAGTCAAGAAAAGGTCGTCCGTAGAGACAATAAATATGTTTTTATGTATATAAAGATCAACCTGCCATTAAACTGTGAGAGCTGTAGACGGTTCCAGTCGCATAACGATAATATGGTCCATGCACCCTGGGTTTAGTAGATACCAGGTATCAGCCGGTACCTGACTGCCTTCGCCCACTTTTCCCACTCGCCTCTGAAAGTTGATTTCAGAACTTGGTCCTCTTGGCTGACCCTGAACACAACGCTTATCATAAGAAGAGTGATCTCCACCAGCCATGCTACCACGATCACTTTCAGTCCAGGGACATCCAAAACCCCTGAACGTCTAAGCCCTGAATCAGTTGATCCGTGCAGGATCAATATGCCGATGAACCTCCATCATGCCGGCTGTATAGGCTGGATGACGTATGACTGGCGTATGGTCCGGTCGTTACAATATGTTGCCCTTCGCGAATAACTGAGCTGGAAAGTGAAAAATACGACCAAGGGTACGATTAGCACCACCAGCGGAATAAAGACCACCCGTGACGGCGAGGCAGTACCGAAAACGAAAAGGAGACTAATAGGTGTGTCACGTATTATGGAAACGGAGTTGGGATCTGTTGAATGATAGATAATGATAGCGATTTCTGCGAGAGAAACAGCCCAATAAAATGCCTGGTGCATGGTTCTATGAGACGTTCATGGGCAGGCGACAGAACTCGCCTTTATGGTCGGAAACCCATATTTAACGAGCCGAAGTGAAGATCCACTCGTTGAAACGTTTGACGAATAACCTCTTTTACTCGAAGGGACATTTTCGGTCGTGAACGATACGTGCAGCGCGATAGCAGACGAGAGGATAAGTAGAACTTTGAGAAGGGATCCATGATCATGAAGAGGCACTTGAACTTTTCAACGAGTGCTTTATACATGAATTCCTCGCTGATGCTGTACACTATCTGATAGTCATGTCGTCATAATGCGGAAGTCGGCATTAGCGAAACAGGGTGTAGGAGTGATTATGTCGTTGGTTTTGCGTTCTGTTGAATTCAGCTCCGTGGTACGCGTGCTAGGCCAGGCCAGATCACGATGGATCCCGGGCTCCACGCAGCGGATAATCCTAGCTTTTGGGCCAAGACTGTTTCGAGGAAAAGGGGTGGGACAGTGTTGTAAGTTTTGCAATTATTACGCTCGACGGTCCGCTTGCACGCACGGTGAGGTACATGTACATTCCATACAGCCGTGGCAATCCCCGACTAGTAGAGACAGTTTAAAATTTGAAATTAGGGCTACCAATCACGAGTAGTCATCTGACTGTTTATCCGGCGGGAAAGGTCTCGAGCACTGTGCTTCACTTCTGGCAAATTGATCTTGTTGAAATGTTGACGCGTACGGAAATCGTTTCCTGGTGCCATAAACAATATGGTGTCAAGGTGAACAATGTTTCTCCACAAATTTCTGGGTGGGCAAAAATGGGTTCCGATTCGTACTGCTAAGAGACTAATATAAACGCACCTGCAGCCTCTCACGAGCAGCACCAAACGTTGATTCCTCCATCTTGTTGCCGTCCTTGAATGCGATGAACGTAGGATACTGGACAGCCAGTAGTTAGCGTAAGGTGATTGTTGTGTGCAAAGATATCCGATATTTACGCTCGTTATGCCACCAACTTCGAAGCTGACATCGTCGAGTTTCTCGGCATTGATGACGTAAAATTCGATCTTGTCCGACGAGAACTTGCTTGCGAGCTCATCAAAGGTAGGGGCGATGGCTTTGCAATGAGGGCAACTTTCGGACACGAAGTCTACGATGACTGTCTTCCCTTCTTCCATCATCTGTGGGCTCAAGTGTGATTTTCGTGCTATATCACTGGCTATGAAGTGCCTACGATGGAAATGAACTGGCCATGAGATGTGATCGGTTTGACAGACATGGTGAGCAGGGTATTGCAAGGACTTGAACGGCACACTGCTGCTTGTGACTGATGATTGACAAAGATAACTAGTTTGTGGTTGGCTACATGACCAGTCCGTGGAACTTTTTGGGAGTTCAACCTCAATTCCCGATGCTGGCCGAATTCCCGAGCTGGAAGGTCTTAACGTCGACCACATCTCGCAGGTCACCGCCTAACATTATTTGAAGGATGCTAATCTCTCCTCCCAGGTATGCGTTCCAACACAATGGCTATCTATTGCATTACTTGCGCCTCTTCAAATCATACCGCACCTAGGCCCATCTGAAATATCGAGTTTCCACTTGTTCCCACAGCGCCGCTTGCATCAAGAATAGTATTGTGTTTTGAAATCTTTTCTGAAAACATCTTCATTTCCGTCAACGACGTGGCATGTACATTTCAAGGGGCTCTGTGTCTATGACGAGAGATAACCCAAAGCCTCCCTCCACCAACTATGCAGAATCGCTGTGGCCAAACTCCTCTGGACGCTCATAACATACCAGCCCACTGGCCCTCCTCACTTCAATAATTTGGCACAGGCCCTCCTTCATCAACGCAGGATACCCTTCCCTCTCTTCCGGTAACACGGAGTCATCAGCCCCACAAATAAACAGAGCAGGCACAAGTAGCGTGCTGAGGGTATGTTCCGCATCATATCCACTGTCGCCATATCACGCGCTCTCGATTACAGCACTTGCCAACTTTTCCATCCCTTGCGCACCCTCTTGTGCGGTCATCTCCTTCACGCACAGCCATTCCGGCCTGTCGCGTGCATCAGCTGTGAACCACCTAGCAACAGTTTTATCGGTCACTAAACTGATGTGTTTCTCCGTGTCGTGGTTGAGGTAAATGTGGCGTGACCATTCGTGCTCGACGGCTTCTCGCGACTTTGACCAATACTTGAAGCCAGCACCAACGAAAGACGAGACAATTCTGGGGATTGTGCGCAAGGAAATGAAGGGCGATGTGAGTGCCTAGGCCAAGGCTGCTCTAGGTCACAATCGGAGAGCAGCATGTGACGTTTGAAACATTGACGTGTCAACACTACCACGGTCGGATCCCAAATGTGAGGCTTCAATTGAAGGTTGACAAATGCACCGTTGATGAATCTGAGGACGGTGCCAGATATTTATTTCGTTATTCCCCTCTTAGCGATAGTGGAGGTAGTTCCGTCATTCGAAAGTGATATATCGATCAAGAACATACCATCACATTTGGAGCCAGTAACTTTCTTCAGGAAGTGTCCAAAATTATTCTTGTCAGCTGGCACAAGTCTGTCATTGCATATGGCGATGATTTGTTATCCCACCGTTCGGACATTATCCTGTACATAATGACGGGGTCATATGCTGCCCGAAACGATATCATCGATAGCTTCTGGTGAATGGTTGATCCTAATCTCCCCTAGATAGCCCTTTACAGACGATGGAAGACAGTCGTTCCTAAAGGGTTGATGTAGTGTCAGGGGCAGAAATATTTTAGGGCGAGTTCTGCCAAAAAAAACGGCAGAACGGCAATTGGCAGAATGGCAAAAATCGGCAGAAATGTTTTGCGTGTTTTTGCGTGTTTCTAGAGTGGTTCAAGATGACGGCAAAAATGATCTAAGCTATTAGTGTTACTCAAAACAAATTTTGAAACTTTTGAAAACTCGCTTAGACGCCGCCTAAATGCTTTCAACTCTTGGCTAAAGTCTTGAAGCCACCTCGGCCGACGACCTAGATTCAAGGTCAGGCCGGCATCGTATGGCGGACTTTGAAACCACCATGCCTCCTGCCCGTCGTCAATGTGCCTGTCGTTCTGCATGCTTCAAAGCTAGTACTCCATTGCACTTGGGGGCGATGGACGAAGAATTGAATAATTGAGCTAATTTCCCCTCAAACCCACCTCTAGAACAGTCTGGACCCTGGCTCACCATCCAGTGGCACAATGACTGTGCACTTACTGACACGCTGGTAAACTACCTGACCACTCACCCTGCCAATTGTAGGATTTTATTCTATTCTGATGGCAAGAAAGCCATGGCTGCTGCAGATAATGGTCCCTCAGGCTCAGATAAGGGGCAGATCTATAGTGTCATCGCTAAGCTTGTCTTCATGGACCATATCAAGTATGGTCCTGCATACTCGGTCAATCCAAAAAAATTCCATGATGCAGTCTGCAATCATATTGGGACATAAGTCCAGTCATTTTTTTAATTCTGTTAATAAAGATTCTAAAATTCATGCAGTCTTAGGGGTAAATACAAAAAAATCAAGGTGACATTTGGCAGTATGGGCACTGGTGTAATGCTGGCTGAGGGGACTCCAGCAAAAAATCTGCTGGGTGAGTTTTTAGTTCTGTTTTTTCTTGTTCTTTGCTGATCAATTGTTGTAGATGCTGCACTCCAGGAGCTGCCATGGTACATGGAACTTGATGCCATTTGGCACTCTAATCCGTCCATGGCTGCAAAGGTGCACTCATCAAGACCTGGTACTGACCATGCAGGTGCCTTCTACTCCCTTGTTCAACTGCATGGTGGGGCTGGTCCCTCAATGTACTATGGCCCCAGTCAGCACTCATCGCACACTCCTGACGTCTCAGACTCTCCATCTGCCTACCAACATGGGCCCTACCTGCCTCAAAATGAAAATGTGTTTGCTGGTGGTATGTACCTGCCAGCAACACATGATTATTCAATGTTGCAATGCTCTGCTCTTGCTCCCCCCTTACCATCACATTCACATGCTCCTCCCCTACCATCACATTTGCCTGCTCCTCCCTTACCATCACATTTGCCCACTCCCCCCTTACCATCACATTTGCCCCCTTACATGGCTGACATTCACCTTCCTGGCCTTCCGTCAGACAACGATGACGACATCGCCGACCACTATGGTCCATTGCATTCCCCCTTGGGGGATGCATTGGACCACATTGATGATGACAACGACATGATGCTTGGTAGCCCTTCCCCAGTCACAGGGAAGAAGCATCAACTCCCTTCATCACCCTCTCCTCCTCCCTCCCCTCCAAAACCGTTCATCATGCCATTGAGAACTCCAGCATCCACATACAACAACCACTCAGTGTTTGGCATCCAAAAGCCATCAAGCTGTGGGGGGTGATGCAAAGTGCTGTCAGTGATATCACACAGCACATCAATGCCCTCATTGACGACACGCAACACCACTTCGTCATTGGAGTACCATATGTCCCTGACACCTCAGACATCACTTCTGAATAGTGCTGGCAGCTCGAAGAAGAAAAAGGCTAAGTCAGATGTGTCACAGCAGGTGGAGCAGGTGAGGGATGAAATCAAGAGCTTGCACTCTAGCGTGATGTCACACCACAAGGGCAGACATCAACACCACATTGCCAAGCTCAAAGCCAAAAGTGAGCACAATCATGATGTGAAGAAATACGACTGGCTTTGCACTACCCGGGAGCATGAAGTCTCCCAAGCCATGGTCAGCCATCAGCGCCTGCAAGAGGCAAAAGATGCCGAGATTCAGCTTTGTGAGACAGATATTTGGGTCCACCAAGCACATTCCTTGGTGCTCAACAAGGAAGCAGAAACCCTCTGCCTCAAGATCCAGTTCCACCAAATGATGCAGGCCTCCAAGGCTGCATCGGATGGAGGAACTGGATGAGTTGTTCTGTCATGTTGTCAGGGGTTGTGTCATTGTCATCATTTGTTGTTACTCATTTGTTCCATTGAATATGTGCATGTCTTATGTCTTGTGGTACTTTCATTGATGTTACATAGGTATATACATTTGTTGTACAGGTGTATTGGTAGTAGTACATGTTCAAATAAGCATTGTGGTTGGTTATCATCCTTCCCTACATTGTGCACCTGAGTGAGGACTGTCAAAGAGTGCATTCATCAGCCTTGTACGAGCAGCTTGACCTGGAGTGCGTTCATATGACCTGTCACCAACTACTTCATCACCATCTGGACTCTCAATTTCTTGATCAATAAAATCTTCCCCCTCTCCATTGGCCCACTTTAGAGAACTGTTACGGTTACACTTGCCCCCTACTCATTTCTTACCTACTTGTATTACATCATGACCGCTACTGCCATCGCTAGATGATTCATCTCTTTTCTTTACTCATTTGTATTACATCATGATCACTACCGCCATCATTAGATGACTTATCTCTGACTCATTCTTATCTCTGACTCATCTATGACTCATTGTTACAATCATGGTTACCCCCTATCTCTTTTTCCTCATACTTGTGTATTATGTCGTGACTGTGCCTCGTTGTGCCATCATTAGACTAACCGTCTTCTATATCTGTATTACATCATGACCGCCACGTGCCGTCGCTAGATGATTCATCCTCTTATCTCTGACTCGACTCATGATGTCTAAATGACTCATGCTCCTTATCTCTGACTCGACTATGATGTCTAGATGACTCATGCTCCTTATCTCTGACTCGACTGATGACGTATACGTACCTGCCCTAAAGGACCTACATCTATATATATTCGGTCATGTACTTAGATAGATCTTCACTTTAATCTACTAGGTCTTACCTGAATTATCCTTCGCTTAAGACCCCCAATCTTAAGTCGTCTGATAACCAATATTCAAGCCAGAGACACTCTCTCTGACTTGTCTTAACAGAACCTTACATTTGTAAGGACACGATCCGGCTTCAGGTGTACTCTTATCGAGTACCTGTCATTGTGCCCATCCTAGTTCGCCATAACAAAAGATTAAAGTCATCTATCGACCCTCTCCATCAGAGAGGTTACAGACCCCAGAAAGAACTCAGCGAGAGAACGACAATGTTCCCCTGAACCAGAAACATCACTTGACCAGACGCTCAGGATGTCCACTGTCTCCACCACCCCAGAATTGAAAGCTGGAGCTCCATCCACTTATGATGGAAGCCCTCACCAGGCTCTGCGATGGTTGTATGCGGTTAAAGCGTACTTTGCACTTAACACTACAATCTATAACACTGATGAAAAGAAGGTTATTACTGCTCTCGCGTATATGACCGAAGGAAGTGCCATGGGTTGGGCACTAACCTTCTATACAGAAGTCGACAACTCTGTCGCCAAGTCCT